TATCCTTTGATTTGTTTTGTCTTCAAACGATCAAATATGCGTCTATTTTTCCGTCTTTGCGTATTTCGTCTTTTGCCTATTTTTGTATTTCATAATTAAGCACGAATCCACGCAACCTGAAAATAACTGATAATATTTGTTAGATAATATAAAACCAATTCGTCTTATTTCAGTGATGATCACATATAAAAACATTTCAACAATTGGCCGCATATATATATATAGGATATATATATATATATATATCTATATATATATATATATATATATATATATATAATGATTGAGAGAATGTCACAAAAGCAAAAAGAACCCAACCTACATGTGTTCTACCAGCTACTACATCCACCAGCTATTTCTTTTTCATAAACAAACACAAGTGGAAGAGTTGTTTGATTCATTTTTGCATATATAATGTATTATACGTGAGTTTTTGGGGTGAGTGGAAGTGTAAGTGTTTTAGTCTTTGTTGTAATAATTCCCATTACTCACTCAACTCCAGAAGAATAAACACATAGCCAACCTCAAAATACTCTCCAAACCCCTCCAAATACCCTCCTTAAACCTCCTCCAAAAACCATTTCAATCACCACAACCATCACCACCTTGCTGTTTTTCGACATCAGAATTTGCAAGTTAAGAAAAAATTCACCGAGCACAACTCAACAAGATAATACAGGAGAGATTTGCACCGTAAATTATTCAGGACCTTACCTACATCCAGGAATTTTCCTCTCGATTTTTTTGACCACTGCAAACCCCAGAGAGACGCGAGAGAGATTGGTGTATCCAGAGAGATTTACTACGAAAATCTATATTCATAACCACCCAAAGCTCTTTCAACATCACTCTCTTTGTTACCTTATACCACCAAAACTACAACCTTATTCCACCTTCTATCACCCTCCAAATACCCACTTCAACCTCATCAAATCACCTTAAAAAACCCCATACCCACATACCAAAAAAAACATTACCCCTGTATTTTGTATCGTTTTGTAAACAATTCATTGTTACATAAAAAGAACTTATTGTTACTTACCGGATTGAACTTTGAACAAATAGAGACACAGTCCTATTAAGATCCAGTCCAATTCTAAACCAGTTCAGTCAATTTATTGACGAACCGACTTTATATATATTTATATATTTATATATTTTATTACAGCTTTACGTCATTTAAATACTGTCATTTATTTCATTTATAGCTTTCAGTCATTTATAGGTTTCCAGTTTATATTATATTCCGCACTTCTATTTTTTTTTCCGCATCTTATCTCCTTAAATATTATATCTGTCACCCAGTAACTGGTATCCGAGCCTTTATTCGTGGTAATCAGATCGTATATTTTCAACATATATATATATAGATATATATTATATAGATAATATATATATATTATATATAGATATATATATGATATTATATATATATAATATATATATATATATATATATATATAGTACATTCAAGGTGGTTAAGTACCATTTAGTAAAACTTAAATGTTAACCACTATAAAATTGACCTAGTGCAGAACGGTCCAAAATGGAGACGTTTCTAAATCATACAAATTTCAATATTGGGAGTATATATCCTTAAAAAATGTGAATAATGATAAATTTGTAAAGTATTAACTTTCTATGCAATAAATAAAAGTGAGTATGAACCATGTTAATATTGTAAATCATTTTAAATAACGCCTACAACTCCAATGCGGTCATTTTGAGTCAAAATGATGGTAGTTACAATATCATATGTTGGACGTAAAGGTAAGGCGCCTCAGCCATTGATTGAGGGTAAACGTCCTTACGATTTCAATATAAAAAAACAAATATATACTTTACATGGATCTATCAACACGATCTTAAAGATCACGAGTCAAAATCTCATTCCCCTTAACCAACCTTATGTGGTTAGTTGTCAACCATGAAACTACAGTTACTTAGAATGCAAGCTACTCAAAAGAACAATGAGGTAAATTGGTAATCACAAAATTACATGTTCAACAAACCATGATTGAGAAATTTGATAGGCACAAGTCAACAAAACACCTTACACGCCTAAAATAAGATACGTTGCTCCTCCTATTTTCCCTAGCTTTAACAACTTATAAAATTATAAAAATGTTCATTTGTTAAAAACTTTCATAGTTGACAAATATAAAATTATATAACAAGATATTCAAATATATAATTAAAGATAAGGTATATGAAAAATATAAAAAACTAGTATTTATGTCATCCCGCATTTTGCGGCGGAAAACTCGTTTGTTAATAATAAAAAATGAAACATAACTTGCACATAATATCTAATTTGTATTTCGTATGTACGATGTGATTTACAAATGTTCATAGTCCACATATTATACTATATAAAGTGGACCGCAAAAATATCAAAATAAAATTTCGATCCAAACAATTATGTATGGAGAAGGCAGACGAAAATAAAGCTTGAAAGTATATCTTAAGGAAATTAATAAAAACGAAAATAAATTATGTAATGGACGAAAACGTAATTTCAATGCGCGGATAACTCATTTGCAATTCTATATAGAATGTAATTTATAAATGTCAACAATCATAGTGGCGATTATATCATATCATATCAAATGGACCACAAAAATATTAAAATAAAGTTTTTATTCAAAAAATTATGTAAGTAGTAAAAATTAATATATGGTGTAAAATTATGTAAGCAGGAAAAATGAAGTATAAACCTTAACAATTACTAGGGTAAGAGACAAAATCTTTATTTGAAGATAAATGCTTATTTTTCCATCTTATACTATATGGTGTAAAAGTTGTATTAATATATATGGGTTTAGCATATTTTAGTGTGACAAAATCTTTATCAAAATATTGTTTGTTATCTTTTTTTTATTCCATGGTTGGATTTAATGTATCAAGTGTTAGACTAAAATAGTTTTTTTCTACTTGTAGAAATGTATAAAGAAAATAGTAAAGGAAATAAATAGGCGAACCCCACAACATTTATGGATTTCTCTTAGATCTAGCAAACTTTAAATATTTATATGTATGAATGTTGACTCTATTATTGAGTGACATGAACACACATACATTAACATATGTTACTTTTCAAGTAAGTTATGATACTTCCATTCACTTGTAACTTAATTACATATTTATATTTTTATTTGTAAATATTATACTAATATCTATATGAAAGTGTTCTGCAAAAACTTTACAAAATGAATAAAATAATATTTTTTTAACTTATATCTTATAATTAGTAAGTACTCAAATTAATATAGTATAAATTGTGAATATTGGATAATTCAATAGGTTTTAACTAAATTATTTTTACTAATAGTTTTTTATTTATGAAGATATTAAATTAATTGCTATAAAAAATCATGCATATTATTTTATTTTATTTATATAAGTTTAAAACATATGTTATCTTATAAGAATTCAAGTAATTCAGTTTAAGAATAATAATTATTTTTTACAATAGTATTTGATAAGGTTTATTTCATGTTTAATATCAATGACTTAAATATATTTCACCAATTATTAAGATATTTAATTTATTATGACAAATATCATTCATATTATTTTATTTTATGTATATAAGTGTTAAATCGTATGTTATCCTATAAGAATAAAAACAATATGGTTTAAGAATAATAATTATTTTTTTCAATACTAATTGAAAATGTTTATTTCAAAGTTAATGATATTGACTTAAATATTTTTAACGAAACATGTGTTATAGATATATATATATATATATATATATATATATATATATATATATTATATATATTATATATATATATCTATATATATAACTATACGCATGTGCGGGTATTCACCTACTATATATATAATATTGGGCAAAATACAAACAAAAAATAAAAATAAAATACACACACGCACACACAACCAATTGTCTATCTATGTTCATAAAAACCCTCAAATTTTCTTTATATTCAAATAAAAATTTATATTATAATAAAAAATACTAAAAAGTACAACCGGTATATACCTATATTTAGAAAAAATCTTGCATGAATTATCCATATAAAACAATTGTTGGGTTTTTCTTAAATATAAGTGGATAATTGGTTATATTTTTCTATGTTTTTTGCCCTAAAATATAATAATTATTTTAACATAAAGATAACCGGAGTTTTTTTTTTAATATAGGATTTGATTCGTTTTTTTGTTATTCACCCTGTAATATAGGAGTTAATCTGAACATAAAGATAATTTAACTGTTTTTCTAAATATAAGTGGACAACTGATTGTGTTTTTCTGTATTTTAGCCAAAAATATTTAGATATATAATTAAAATCTAGCATTATAATGGTAATATTTGAAAAACTTGTGAAAAAAAAACCTCATACACTCAATAAACCCTTTCAAATAGTTTTTAAAAAAACTAGTTTATATGTTGTTTACTAGTCACCCCAATCGTCCAATAAACCAATGTTTAAAAATCAGTTGGACTCAGAACCATGTAAGTAAGCGATTCAACTAGCACCGATTTTATGCTTATTTTTGTATCGGAACAAAAAAAAATGGTTAAATTGAATAAAAACTCACAAAACTGAAACATTTTGCATAAAAAACTTTGATGGTCTTTTCACATTAATTTAGATTTCTCTTAAATCAAATACAAACATGTGATAAATGTTATGTAACTTTTTGAAACATATGTATCCATCTAAAACTATATTTTGTTTTAATAATTATATTTTGTTTTCGTTTTGATGTAAAACTTATGGATATGTGTTTTTTAATGTATTTTGAGTGATCTACAATTTGTTTTTATATGTATTTTTAATGTTTGAACATGAAAATTCTAGAAACTTAATTGAGCCGAAGGACGAACAGGTTGAATATTTGAAACGCGAACCGGTCATCAAACCAATTCAACTAAAAAACTGACTTTTAAAACATTGCAATAAACTAACTTATGCATAGCCGCCAAACACGACCTGATTATGGTATATAAGGTAAACAAAATTACACAACTACCCCCAGCGAATTATTTCATAAAATTTATATCACAAAAAAAAACATATATAAACAGTAATTGTTATAATATTTATATAGCAAACAACCAAATAAGGCATATATAACCACCACCCCCAACATGCTTGTCTTTACCATTTAAATGACAACGTGACAAAATTTTTGTGTCTGTTTACGTACTCGTAAACTTATGCAAAATGATGAGGAAAAACGATAAATCACGGGCCACGGGTTTTGGCAAAACAAAGACAACCAGAGGCTTGATCTTCGGGGATCATTCCACCGCCTTTACTTGTATCAATCGCCTCTAAAAGCCTCACCACCTCATCCATTTCGGGTCTCTTGTCTGGGTTCGCATCCCAACATTTTTTCAAAATGCTTGCAAAATGCACTCGGGCAACATTTTGGAATGTCGGGTCGTAGATTCTGTAACAATTATAATACAAAATAAAATATTAGCTAGACTGAAACCAATACTGTGATAGTAGCTAGGGTGGTATGTATTATAAGTAAATAAATTATGTATGTATGTGTGTTTCTTTACTTAATGAAGACAAAACTTTATTTGGTAAGCCAAGCTACATCCGAGTGTTTTTCTTTTTACTTGATGAAGAAAATACGATTGATGGTTGTTGCCAAATAACATTTCATTTCCAACCCTACTCTATTTTTACTCCAAAAACTATATTCCTAATACATTCTTTTTTTAAACTTAAAAAGATTGTCAAAGACACTTCAACTTATTAGTTTTTCCCATATTTATTAAATTTTATATGAATTTGATACATAAATAATAAATTTTATACTTATGATTAATTAATATCACTTAAATTATATAGTTACTTAACTAAAACAAAGTAGAAATTGATAAACCTAAAATGTGAGGGACTAAAATTGACAAGTGAAAGTTCAACTCCAGTATTACTATTTCTAATGGGGCGGTGTAGATGGTTTTAACTCGATGTATTCCCACCACAACGAAACCATCTTCTTAGCTTATTTGTGGGTCCCACGACGACAAAAGAAACTTATTTGAAGGTCCCACAACCTATTTTAGAGGACAAAAGGAACTTATTTGCAGGTCCCACAACTTTTAAATATATATATTTTAATTACAAGACAGAAGAAAAAAAAAACAATTTTTAAATAAGCTCCTCCTAATAAACGAAGAAGTCAACTTTTTTGAAAAAACTCACAATCAGGTTGACTTATCTTGAGGTGGTTTTTTGTTAAAGAAAAATTCCTCTCGACAATTCAAAAACCTCGTTAAATCTCCACTATAACAAAAACCTGTAGTCAACTTATCTAAAGGTCCCACTAATTTTAATTTGTATCATTTGTATTATCTTCCATATTATTATAATAATAAATATTACAATAATACATTGTTACTTATATGGTTTTAATACTTATTTATTTCTACATGTAGCAAGGTCAATGGTTTCAAAAGTCAATTTTTAAAAAGGCGTAGTTGAATAACCCTCCACAATGGTTAAGAAAGCTTTTTCATTTTGAATAAACAATCAATAAGCTCCCATTGTAGATGCTCTAAATATAGAAAGTCAAAGAAGTGAGGTCTTCTCTATTAGGTCAACTTTTTACAAATTCTCCATCGTTTATAAAAGACAGACAAACCTGACGAACAACTGCAGAGGATACTTCAGCAAAACTAAGGTCAGCATAGGGCATGTCACAGCAATAAATTTCCCATAAGCAAATCCCAAAACTATACACATCACATTTCCGATTGTAGGGCTTTCCATCAAGAACCTACAAAAACCAGAAAATCAAAAAATAATCTCGTTATCTTTTATTCTTGATTCTTGTAGTTGCAATAAATACTCAGTTTGAAAGACTATGTATGTACCTCTGGAGCCATGTAACCCAGAGTTCCTGTTTCACCAGTCATGTCTCTAGGGTTTTGAGCTTCAACACGAGCAACTCCAAAATCAGCAATCTTTAGGGTTCGATTTAAATCCAACAGCATATTTTCAGTTTTCACATCACGGTGTACAATCTTCTTCGTGTGAAGGTAGCTTAAACTGCAAAAAAAGAAAGAAAAAAAAAATCCGTTAAAAGATGCATGATTTACAATGATCATTTTTGAAGAAAAGGGTAAGAATTTAGCTGACCCTCTAGAGAGATCTAAAGCAAGTTGAACAACAATCTTGAAAGACAGTTTCTTTCTACTATTCCTGATTAGATATTTTTTGAGGGTCCCACCAGGAAGATACTCCACCACAACACAACAAGCCCTTGAGGGTAAAGAGTTCTGAGCAGCATTTGAAGTGTTATTTGTTGGGATCTTAAGATCTGAAGTCCCCATTGAAGCTCCAACAAACTACAGTATTTTATAGAAAAAGAAAATACGAATAAAGACATAAAATTTGTTTGCTATTTATGACATTTAAAAATATAATAAAGTATGAACCTTGGTGACATTTGGGTGGTCAAGTTTGTGCCAAACAGCAACTTCTTGTCGAAAAGATGTCCGAAGATTCGCAGTCTCAGCAGCAGTAGCAAGTCCATCCTCTCCCCAGTCCAATACCTTCACTGTAAGATTCAAAATTACTTAATTAACCCTGATATAATTACAAATCAATATTTATGCAAAAGGGGCTTATCGATTGTAAGAGTTTAAACGTACCCTTAGATGCATAAAATGCTCCTAATAAACATGTAAGTTGACCTCCTAAGAGGGTGGTAGCAAAAATCAGGTAATAATTATGATTTTCTGATTATTTACAGTAAAGATAATAAATGTAGAATTAACTAATTAACAGACAATACCTTATTTGAGATAAAAGTGGACTTAGCGAATTATCCCTAAGAATAAGCAAATGATTATTTGATCTTAAGTTCGATTATTCAAGTGCGAATAATCAGTTTATATGAACATATACAAAACTTGGAGGGATTCATCGGAAACCATCCAACTTTTAGAAAAGACATTCTTATTGATTATGTAACAAAATATTTACAATTGTGGGGAAAAAGTAATAAATACAAAAAGTTGATCAATTTCTACTGTTCACATGTCAATTATTCCAAGATAAATCACAAGTATGAACCGAAGAACACCGCCACATAATCATCTCTTTATAACAATCAAATCAATACCCACAAAAATTAAAACGTGAAAAATAACAAACAACGATAAATTAATAAATATTACTATAATGGATGAACATGGAGAATGTTTACCTGCAACATCTTGACCATCATAAACACCTCTGTATACTGTACCATAAGTTCCATGAGCGATAACATTCCTTATATCCAATTTAGCTAAATCAATTTCCCATTCCTCTTTCTTAGTATGAGCTGCTTCTTTCTCTCTATCTCTTGACCAAACCCTACTCAAATGTTTATCCAATTGAACATCCCAGCTCTTGAAATCAATCTTATCAGCCCTCAAAAACATTTCTTTATTATTCATATTACCAAATTCCTTCGACTTTGAACCTAAACCACTTAGTTGACCACTCGAATTTTTTGGTGAAGAACCAACGCTTCTTGATTCGGGTTTCATGGCAGCAGTCTCACCATCGGTTGATTCTTGAAATTTCTTCAAATCCATGGTATATATATATAGTCGGAAGAAAGGGTAAACTGAAAAGTAAGGAACAAAATCAGGGTTTTTACAGCATGGTTTGCAAGATTTTTTTAAATTCAATAAAGAGATAAGCAATCAAACGCAAAACAGCCCTTCAAATGTTGAAAGAAGTAAAACCCATAAAATAAAGAAAATATGAAGTGGACTTTGGAACAAGATTGGAAAAGGAATTAAACCCAGATGGGAAAAGACGGAATTCTTCAAAGGTTTCTTGAAAACAAATACCCAAATAAAACCTTTTAAATGTTGGAATGAGTAAAACCCACAAAATTCTAGAAAAATGAAATTGAATTGGAGCAAAAACTAGAAACTCATTTAAACCTCAGATGGAAAAGAAAGAAAATTTTTCAAAGATTCGAAGGATGTGACTTCAAATTACGCAAAAAAAAAAATAAGCCCTGAAAATAAGGGATTTTGATTTTTGGTGGTGGAGAGGAGCAGAATTTTGTTATGGAAAGAAGAATCAACGAAGAAGAGAGAGAGAGAGGAGAGAGAGAGAGGCTCTTAAAATAGTCGCTGTGTGTGATCTCACCCAGAACCTAAAATATAATCATTGAAAATTAGAATAGAAGAATTACATATGACTTTTTCAACTTTTACTTTAAAATTGACAGAAAATTCCTCAAATACATTTAAAACTAAATTAACATCTTTATTTTATAAAGAGAAATTAAATATCTTTCTATTTTTTGTTTCTACAAATCCTCCTACCAAATTAAATAGTGACATATGTAACATTTAATGCTCATTTAATGAAATTTTAGTATACTAACATGACACATGTCTTGATTTAATTGGATAGGAGGATTTGTAGGAACAAAAGTGGAGAATATTTAATTTCTCTTTTATAAATTGTTTTTTTTAATGCTTACTTTTAAAACTTATTTATTTTCTAATTTAACATTAATGAGATTGAATGTTTTATACGATGTTTCCCATTCTATCTTCTTTAAATATAATTTATGTTTTCTAAGCAACAGCATGGCAATTTATGTCGTGAAGTTAAATGTTGTATTTTGTTTGACAGAAAAAATAATTTTTATGTTTGTATCTATTTGTTTTAATGTTGCTAGTCATGTGTCTTTTACTTTAGTACAAATGCATACCGATGAAGTGAGAAAAGGGTTAACAAGTGTAGTCGATCTCTTCAATTTCATTAACTCTAGGCGAGTTTGTATGGGCTGTATACGCATAAAAGTAGGGCCTCACGCGTTGTATAGAACCATGAAAAATAGACACTCTGTTAGATGGCCACCCCTATTACATTCATTCAATATAAAAAAAAAAAACAAGATCAAGATGTGACACTCTGTTTCATGGTCACACCGTATGCTAAAAACATGATCTAATGGTTTCAGTTTATGACAACCGCTATGAACATTATGCGTAAATAATCCATTTTTAGAGGGGCACTACGTATCAAGATCATTAATAACATGCAACTCATAAATGTATAAATTCACAAATTACACAATCAATCATAACAATAACAAAAGTGAAATTTCAATCAAACAAGTGTTACATTACAAAGGTATCTTGACACACACATCCGAGAGCGACAAAGAAAACTCAAAATAGTTGTTCACATTTTTCTTGATGTAGATAGAAGTCCTTAGGTTGGTTCTTTTAAGATTATGATATTTAAGAGAGAAGGGGGGGTTGTCAAATTACTTTTATTTTGCATTTGAGTTCATTCATTAATCTAAACCAAAATTTAAAGAACATGATCTTAGATTCAAGTCGAAATGCATTTAAGCTTAGGCTCAAATACCATTAATATGGTTCAGTTATGATCATTTAATATGAAACATTAAAAATTGAAATTGACTTAAGTTTGAACCTATATTTTTCAACTTTAGGATGGCCTATAGTTAAAAAAGTAAATATTTACGATGCCCAATGGCCTCAAAGGTCTGGGATTGGGTGTTTCACTGGTGTGACCTTCGCAATACACATTTTAAATCCATTGAGGAATTGTTGAGGTTTGGCAATGGGGGATATGTGTAAAGAAAAGGAAAAGCCTAAGGCTGGAGGGAGTGGTGTCGCACTTCCTCATGAAACCGTAGTGACACGTAGGCGTCACTTCACCCATTACCACAAAAGTGTGGTCTCATACCACACCCAAGGAGTGATGCCACACTCCTTTAATTATTTTTATTTTTAAATAAATAAAATTTTTAGTTTTAAATAAAAACAAAATATTTCATTAATTAAAAATAAAACCATTACATACTTTAAAAAAAATCCTAGGAAATTAGAAAATAAAAAACTAGAAAGCTTAAACCTACAACTTAAAAAAAAAAAAAAACAAACAAACAAAACAAAACAAAAAACACACACATCAAATAATTAAAAACTTGGAAAACAATTACAAATTAACCACGATTAGCGTAACGCTTTTTCACGTCTTCCGTCATTTGCAAAACAACTTGAAGCGCATCCCCGGTCAAATTCGACGTGTCCATCGATAACACTCTCAGTTTGTTGTCCCTTTGTTTCCGACTCTCTCTATCCAAAGCAAGTTACAAAAATTTATCCATTCTATCTTTTATGTCTTGCACATTCTCGCCCATTTCTTTTAAGTCATCCGATTCCGACGCTTTGCCCTTGCCTTTGTTTTTTGTTTTGTCCCTTCCCATTGGTCGGGGGTGGTGACACTTGAACATGCTCATCTTCGTTGAGGTCGAAACCAACACGAGCATCTGATGAAGTGTGTTCGAATTCGGAAGTTCTTGACTGTTTTGATCCGCTATCGATGTGCTCATCGCTTGTTCTTAGTTTTTGCCTTTTTTGTTGCTTTTGAGTAGATTCCAAACTTCAAAAAACTTGAAAGTCTTCTTTTACTCTTTTTGATAAATGTTAAAAGCTTTCTCCAAAATCACTTCGTCACTTTCGTCGCTTTTCCATTGCCGTTTCATGTTGTTATATAAATCGTTAAACAACATCACGTCTTTGTTCATCTTTCCCCATTTGAGTACACCTGATGTTTAGTACGATATGGTTCCATGTTCATTCCTTTTTGGAATCGAGCTCTAACGCGCATCCAAAAACGATCATGTTTTTGGTTCCCTCCCGTCTTCGCGTCCTCTGTAACGTCAATCCATGATTGTGCTAATACTAACTCTTCTTGAGGTGACCACAGTTTAGCTTCCGCCTTCTTTTTTATATTATTTCCTGGTTGAGAGGGTTGAGTTTGTGGAGCAAATTCTGGTTCAGATTTTGAAATGGATGTTTGTGGTTGTGATTGTGTTTGTGGAACAAACTCTGGTTGGGAACCAAAATCAAAAGGATCAAAATCTTGGTCAAATTGTGGTTGTGTTTGTGGAAATGGTTGCGTAGGACGTGGTTGTTGGATATGTTATGGAAAATAAGGAAGCATTCCCCCGTAGTGGTAGAAAGGAGGCGAATAAACCGGTTGATCGAGTGAAGGTCTTGGAGTTGTGGTTTTTCTAGTGGGTGTTTTTTCGTTGGTTGGATTTTTGGAGGATGACATTTTTGTGGATTTGAAAAGAGAGAAGATGGTAAAAAACATAAAATGTTTATGAGTGTTTTTGGTTAATTTGATAAAGTATTTATAGTATTGGTATAAAAAAAATTGAAAAATGACCGTTTGCAAACGGTAAACCACGAGGACCAATAGCATTGAAGCAAGAAGTGCTACCCTGGAAGGCCGTAGTGTGGCCTAGACCACACCTGGACCGCACCCAGGGGGCGGTGTGCGTGATGATGTGGCGGATGGAGTGCGACCTAGACCGCACCCACTCCGTCTGGTCTAATTAGTATTTGCTACGGGATGGCGTGGCTTATTTGGAAAGCAATGTGTGATTGGATTTTCAAAAAAATAAGAACTTCTCCTGCTAAAGTGACTGATTTGGCGAAATGCACTGTGTTTACATGGATTAAATATAGGAAAGATCATTGTAATTTTCAATGGGTTGAATGGTGTGTCAACCCTTTTATTTGTATGTAATCTTTCTCTTTGCTTGTACTCTTTTGCCCCTCCTAGTATCTTGCTAGGAGTGCGGCTCTTTTAATAATATTTGCAGGTTCCAAAAAAAAAAAAAAAAAAAACTAAAGTTCGAATTTTAGCAAAATGTTACTATTTAATGAAATATAAACACACCTACTCATAACATATATTTGTAATAAACAAATGTTTGTGTTAATATTTTTAATATAAGTTATTTGTTGTTCTTTATTAAATAGGAGTAATATAAGTTTTTCCTTAAAAAAAAAAAAATAGGAGCTTTTAAGTGGTATGATATGATGCACTCATACACGATCACGAATGTGGGTCGGCGACTTCATTGTAAGAACCGTCGCCAGAAACGACATTCCGATCTACACAAACGACAATCCAAAAGTATCTTTCCCCTTGGCCCTTGTACCGTGTGTCCGTGTGTACCTCAGCATCCAATGGGACCACTCACAACTCACAACCTGTTTGGATACCTCATTTTGATCAAATATATTTATTTATTTGTTGAGGAATACGTAATTATATTTAAAATTCTAAAACTATAATGAACAAGATACTATATAAATTATACCAATCAACATGATTAATATATAAATTACTGATTTTACCTTTATACTGTTAATTTCAGCTTTATTTTTCTACCTGTGTCCTAGCGCCTTGCTAGGCTCGGTGTTTTTTATATAATATTATTTGTTAATTCAGAAAAAAAAAGATTAATATACATAATAACAAAACATAAGCAGACAATACTAGGGGTGAGCATTTGGACCGAACCGGACCGGCTCTTGGACCGGACCAGTTATGGAGAATATAGTGGACCGTGGACCGGACCGGATGTGTCGTGTCTGTGTCATGCATAACTAATCTACATTGATGTTATAATATTATAACTTACAAAATTAATTTTCCAAATAAAAGCAACTAACATCTAAATCAAGTTCACCAAAATCCCTTTCATATGATTTATCTGTCAAAGATACATAAAATTCAGAATTATAGTCTAAAATAATAGTTAAAAAGTTGAAATATTTCAGCTTTGATAGCTCAACTTTGAAGAATTGTAACTCACTGAATATAATACCAAAATCAACAAAATTATAGTCTAAGTTCATCTACAAACTATAAACTAAATGTTGGAAAAAACCGCAGGTCAATCCGACTTAAAACGAATGAGTTATGGTTGTTTAAAAATTTTCACAGATTACAAAATTTTAAAAATCTTGCTGAAAAGCTGAAAATTTTCAGCTTTGATAGCTCAACTTTGAAAGAATTTAACTCATTGAATATAATACCAAAATCAACAAAATTATAGTCTAAATTCATCTACAAACTGTAAATTAAATGTTGAAAAAAACTGCATGTCAATCCGACTTAAAACGAATGAATTATGGTTGTTTAAAATTTTTCACAGATTACAAAATTTTAAAAACGTTGCTGAAAAACTGAAAATTTTCAGCTTTGATAGCTCAACTTTAAAAGAGTGTAACTCATTGAATATAATACCAAAATCAACAAAATTATAGTCTAAATTCATCTACAAACTGTAAATTAAA